ACTGGGGGACTTGATGAGGGAGCCGACTACATGGATGTTCCGACATACCATCGACATGTTCGTCCCAATATCAATGTAGCCTGACATTTGATGTACCCCAGGTGTTGTTTCGCAGATTCCCGAATTGTTCACAAAGCGCAGATTCACACCATCCTGGAGGCTCGACGAGAATTTGTGTTTGACGGCCAAGGGGGTGGCATAACCAAACACAGAGGAGCTCAACGCAAGGAGAAGAGAAACGAGCATGGCGGGGGTTGCGATACGCCGTCCAAGAACGCGGCGTTTGGTTTCGCCATGATTTCAATGGCATATAATTAGCTCCGGTCCGTTTGAGTCCCACATGCTGCGTTGTGAGAAGCAAAGATAAGACCGAGTGCAGTATTTTTATCCTCCAAAAGCGTGGAGCTGAACTTCGCGAATGCACAGGCGGACCCACGGGGCAGCGGCACATGGAGGGAGGATCAAAATTCCAAAGGAGGAAAGAGTCGGGTCACAGTCAATGTCATCACACCGTGTTTGCCGAGGTCGCCGAGGCATTGAAGAGTTGAAACTTGGTTGTAACTGCCTTTCCGAAGGATCTCAGAGTGTAAAGGATTCGCGCTAATTTTTTTGTTTTCCGAAGGATACTGTAAAGAATTGAAGTTTGCAAACTTGAGCGCTTAAGCTTAAGTCATAGTAAACATAAATGCAACCAGTGGCACTCAAGAGTTGAATTCGAAGGGGGCAGTTAACTTTTCTCGAACCAAAGCTCTGCTCTTTCCTTTACCGTATTACCCCGGGGACTCTGAACACCCTCACCAGCACCCCAGAAACCCCGGAAGCCGATGCCGAGATTTCCATCATAAGAAAACTCCGCAACGAAACTGGGATTCGTTGCAACTTTGACCCAAAACGGGGCATCGGAAGAGTTTCCAGTGGCCTAATTGAACAGAATGATCAGCACATATCAGATTGGGGGATTAGAAACAAATTCACGAGACTGCTGTGGACATGGCAGTGAGAAACAGCTGCGCTGCCGAAACGCCGACAAGTACTGTCAACCGGCTTTCCGAATCCCGACAACCGGCAAAAACAAACACGCCACCATAACGCGACCTGTGATGCGACGCGCCGTCACCGTAAGCGTAAGCGCAAGTAGCGAAAATTTACGTGGAAATAATAACCTTACGCCTGAGGCCCATCCACGCCCTATGCCTGAGTTGCAAACGGTTCATCTGTGTATCCCGTGGGAGTAACATCCCCCGGGGCCCGGGCCCATGAGATAGAACGTGGAGCGGTCGTATGGGTGCAGCGGAATATCCTTCTCCAGCCGTAACGGTAAGTCGGGCTGCTTCAATCTCAGTAACGATAGCAGACGACATAAAGAAGACACAGACTTGAGCAATAAACGTCCTCCCAAATGCAACAAGTACATTCTTGCTTGAATCGACCAGCCGCATGGCCATTTCACGGGTATGTCCCCCCGCGGTGATCAGCGGGAGGTCACCCAGATTTCACGAATGAAGTCGTTCGACTACGGTACCCGCTTAGGCTCGTCCTGGAAAATTTAAAAGCCATAGCGCGCGGATGTTGTTCGCCTCGTCGAGTGTGAAGCGGCGGTACAGGGATGACGAGTAGGTCGCCCAGCGTAACGGAGATCCGGATCCACTCGTCTGTGGGGGTTTTTGCCGAGTCGGATGGGCGAAATACATGTATTCACATATCTGGCGTGATGTGTCCCCGCTGAAAATTTCCTATTCCGGACCCACATCATGTGTGGCGGAAACTCAACAAGTCTCCGGTCTCGAGTCACAGCATGTGACCTCCTTGTGATTCTCACTATCATGTCCAATGTCGTCAACTTGCTGCCGCAGCTGAGCGAATCTCCACCGCTGAATGCCACTACACTTCCGACTATTCCCCCCTTCGACCCTCCACAACTCGTTAGTGCGTATCGCCGTGTCGTTGATGCGGAAAAAGAAGCAGTCGATCATTATGGGCGAGCCACTACAAATCTTAGCAAGGAGGCCGCCCGCTACGACATCGTTGCCGTTCGTGTCGTCGGATACCTTTTCCCGTCCCTATGGAGAATGAGACACTGCTTGGGCGATCAGCCCACCGTCAAGCTGGCGGTTGAGGTGTTGTCGGCAGTGAATGACTCCGCCCTGCACGCTCTCGGGAAAAGATATATCGATCACCTCATATGTTCATGTGCGTTTCACCCTTCGATGTCCTGGGCCTCATTGATACAGCCCTGATAGTCCGTACAACGACTAGCAAGTCTGACACCCCTTCAAATCATCCATCGCGTCCTTCAATGGACCGGCTTGAAGACATGCTGATGGATGCTATTCAAGTGTCTGGAAACGATCACCGAAGCGCTAGAACCAGGGTAGATCTCAGTTAACCTCGTTCAAAATGCTGATTTTCAATCCGATCCAGGCACTCGCTCGCGACGGTTATCAATGTATGGTAACCAACACGGTCGACGCCTTCTCTTTTGAAAAGCACCCTGCCGTTAAGAAGATCTGTTCCGAAAAAGGTGCTGCGGTCCACAACATACAAACGTGCCACATCTTCAATGAGGCAAAACTCCAAGAGTTGAAAGACGGTGACAGAGTCAGTATCTTCCATCCTCCATGCAGGGAAGGGCTTACATGATTTGCACAGCTTCAAAATGCGGGGGCGGCTCTGGCTATTTTAAAAATGTTTGGGCTCGAAAGCGTCGTCGAGCGCCTTACAACCATCGTTGTTGGCGACACCGCATCAGCATCAGGGGTCCATAACCTGTTGAACATTATTTCCCTCATCACCGAACTACACACCGCCTTCGATACCTTGAAGATGATTTTTGAACCTGTGGTAGATCAGGTACAGTTATCCATTATTTGCTATCTATTAGCTCAAGACTACCACAGGAGAACACGTACGACATTGTCTTCGCGTACCCGCAGAGGGCTCTCGGACTGCACGGGCTCAAGAACAGGGTAACACTAACAAGTTTACTCCCAGCCGGCCGTGTTTTCCCACAAGCCGGTGGTGTCCGGGAACTCCCCCTTCCAGACCCTCGCCTACTAGCACTCCACGCGGTGTGTGCGCGCGTTGCACATATGTCAGGCGCTGCTGAAGCTCTGGACTCCTTTGAACGTGATGTCGAGGAGACCTTGGTGCTCGCGCGCGATGGGGCTTCAGCCAACCTCGTAGACCGGCTTCTCTCACCACTCGTTTTCTGCCTCTGCTTGACCTTATACATGAGTTTCTCATTAATTTTACGTCCTGTCCGAAACAAACATTCTTCTTGAAGCCTTTTTTCTTACGCTTTCTTTTCCGTGATGGCGGTGTCGTTGGGGACGATGTTGTTGACGATGACGAGAGTTTCAACAAGAGTGTCTGTGAGGGCACGCCCACTTTTCTGCAAGAGGTAAAAGCAGAGGTACATGGGAGTGCGCGACGCAGAGTAGAGGACGCAGATCGCCGTACCACAAGTAGTGTGTGCACGTCGATATAACATCGATTCTCCGTGCCAGTCTCATGGCACAAGAGCAGTGCACTTTGGCGCTGGACCTTGCCCTCGTTATAAACGTCTGTCACAGATGGATAGTAGGATGCCGTCCGATATAGAAACTCCATCTGCAGTTGAAACTTGAATGTCGTCCCTGACTTCAGCTCGGGCGGATTCGCTGTTGCGTAAACCGTCTACAGACAACTCGAGTGCGCACGTCGACAAACCGCGCGCAACGCAGATCAGCTTTTAACCTATGCCCAATCCGACAGGGAGCGACGGGCGAAATCGTCGAAGAGAGTTAGAATTATCGGCGTCGTGCATCTTTCTCATCATGGCGCTTTCCGTCATGCCATTGAAATGCACGGGTGTCGCCAATGAGATACAAGAGCTGGATCCGCGGTCGAAACTGAGGTTGTGATTTACAGATCTCACGATAAAATAGTTGAACCTCTGGATGCAATCTGAAAACACACCAGTCTTCAATTATAGTGCTTGACCACCACGCCGTTGATCACCTCGTCCTCAACCTTACCCTCCGGCGACGTCGACTTCGACTGGATCTGCCCATACGCACTGGTCCTCCCCTTCCGCCACTCCTCCATCGTCTAGAGTAATTCAATGTCTCGAAAAAGTCGCTCATCGGCGTTGACGCGAAGAGCTTCGATATACCATGACAATCGGTGATTCAAGACGGCCCGTGATGCAGATGTAAGTTAGCAGAGGATATAAATGTATGTGCCACACACCTCGGTGTTAAGAAATCTAGGCCATCAGTTTTCATTGAAACAGACAAAAAATGCCAGACTTGTAGAGGTGCTGGAAAATTCTGTATACCTGGAATGAGCGTAAATGATGTCTCGGGCCTAGGAATTGGAATAAAACTTGAAAAAGTATAATAAACCTTGACGCGACGGTTTGTAGAGGTACGCTATGTACTCTCGGTGGTTTAAGCATTGTGCGGCAGTCCAAGTGCTTGTAGTTAATGGCGGTGACAATGAAATTTTTGTCAAGCCCGCACATGACGTTCAATTCGCCTTGTTTTCGGAGGGACCAAGGTCATAAAATTAGGGATACCAGCTAGAGAACAGGAGCCAATCAGGAGCGATAGGAGCGGCATCATGACACTGGGATTTTGTGAAAGCTGACAGCGCGAAAGATCATCCTATGTTGCAACATCGATATCTTTGATGATGATGCTCTTGATTCTTCATAGCCTTCGGAACCGAGACGAGCTGGAAGAACGAGAGTAGCCAAATCAAAGGCAGATCTAGAAGGTCTCAGAGATCACCGAAACTTGAATTTTCAAGTGCACGCGTTCCAAGTTGCGAAGAGAGTGAGTTGAGAGCCAGAGGTGAGAGGCAGGGAGTCCGGGTAGAAGCTTTTGTTGTGGGCAGAGTTGCATCGAGGGAAAGTCTCGAGAAGATTCCGACTCCGTCGATGTAAAAAGAGAAATTCGACACCGACAAGAAAGAAAACATCCGTCAATTCGCGGCAGAAATCCAAGGGCACATCAGGATACACGAACCGGGAATCGAACCCGAAGCTAGGCCAAACATCGCTTGTAGCGCGAAGATGGGAAGACCCAATGTTACCATTACACCATTCGTGTTGTGCAAGACGATCGAGAATTCGCATGGTAATGAGGCAAGGGGTATTCGCCGGAAGAACCCGAGACACTGGGTCGATAGGTAGGTAGGTCTGAGGAAGTCTTATTTCACTTTTTGGAATTTGCTCGGATCACTCTGAAAATGCATTTAGAAGGGTCTGAAAAAGATCGAGTTTTTCGGAGGGGCTTGAAGGGTTGAAAATTCTTTGAACATCCTCGAAATCAATTTCAGAGGGGACTAATTTGCATCGATTGCACCCAGATACACCTTGGATTGAGGCATAAAATTCCGATTCTGGCCCATTTGCGTGGGAAGATCACTCGGCTAAGCTCGCTTAGCCTCGGCTGATAGGTAGGTAGGGCCCGAAGAGCCTTACTGCCTCTTACTGCACTTTTCCGACCCTGTGTGGGAAATTTTAAGGGTGAATACCCCTTGTAATGAGGGATTGCGAATTGATGCCAAAATGGATGACGCGTCATTTTCTTCCTTTACTTCTTCTTAAGATCTCGTTTTCTTTTTTCCCAAGCTACTGAGGAGTCGAAAGCCATCCATGGTCAATGATCAATAACGGCCGAAGGTGGTCATGCAAGAGCTGGCCGAGCCTTGTGTCCTGAATGGACTGGACTTGATTGCGAGATGATTCCACCTGCCACGTCATTTCTCAATGAATGCACCGTACTGTCATGCACCGTACTGTCTAGCGAAACTATGCAAGAACGTCGTCGAAGGGGGGCGCAAGGGGGCGCAACAGGAGGCCAACAGTGATACGGATGATGAGAGGAGATGGTAAGACAAGATGGCCGCGCGTATGATGGCGATATACAATGATATAGACAAAGTGCGGTTCAGGTGAGTCACCGCTGGGGCGGCGCTGCCGCAAGTATTGATGGTGATGACGGGATAGTATTAGTAATAATAATACTGGCGGGAACGATGGCGGACGGTAGCGCGGTAGCGCAACTGCGTCGGCGAGTCGAGAGGTCGTAAGAGGTACAGTAGCGCGGGTGGAACGAGGAGGTTAGACGGCAGCGAATGGCACGGGGTGGAGGCGCGCAGCGAAAGGCGGCTATGCCAACGACGAGAACGAATCCACCACGACAGGCGCCGCAGTCGGTATGCTGCTCCTTCCCCCTGCTCGGACCGGGCGCTGCTTTCAAGGCCACCGGTGTGCGCGATCATGCGCACGGGCACTCGAGCTCGGGGGTCGTCAATAACAAGCCAGTCGCCGAGCATATCTGCTGCGAAGCGGCGCGGAGAGGTGGACGTGGACGTGGTGGAGAACGCCAACCCCTCCGTCGTGGAAATGGGCATCGTGAACAACTGTGAACAAGCTGACGAGCCGTGCATCGCACACGGACACGGGGGTCTAACAGAGCGTCTCGATGAGGGACTCGAGATCTGAGGGCCTCAATGGGGAGGGCTGTATGTGTGAGAGATGTTCAGCACAGTTCCCTCCACCGCACGCTCCACTGGTATGGTTTCCTACGTCGTCAGCTCCACCAGCGTAAACAGGTCGAGTATGTGGACGCTTGCGATACAAATTGGTGTGCATGGAGAGCATCGTCGTGGCACCGACGAGGATTGCGGCGCGGTGCAGCAATGGTGTCACCACGGGCTCGAACGGATGGAGAAAGGCAAAGTGTGTCCACGAGGACGTAACGCGGGGTGACGGCCTTGCTCGCAGTCATCTGAGTACTTTGCGATATGGACGGCACCTGACGTCGTGAATGAGTTTCTCGTCGGAAAAAATGAAGTCGGCAGCAGGAGACTCACCCGAGCGCGGATTCATCCCCGTCAACCTTTTGCATCGGTGCATGTCGCCGTCGATAGACATTTGCACCAGACCCCACAAAGCACAGAGTGGCGCAAAGCAGCCAGGGGCTCTGTAAACGCGCTGTACTGTGTGCTGGGGATCATCCACGCTGAAAACAGTGGAATCCGACGCAGATTTGACGGCTGCGTGTCCTCTACGCCAGTTTTGTCACCACAGAAGCTGATAGCTCGAATTGGGACGATTCGACGAAGCCGAGTTGGAGAGATCGCTGGGCTGCTGACATTGCTGACGGTCGTCGGTATGGCACGAAGAAAGGAGGTGCTGGATGGCCCGAATGGGAGCTCGAGCTGGAATAGGTGCACTTGAGCGAGGCGCGGACTCTGATGAGCATTGGATAAAAAAGCAGGATAAATTTGAAGCACATTATTCAATTTATTGGCATCACTGTTTCATCAGACAATCACGGGGTTGGCCCTCCTCTTTCTTCCGCCCTTCACTGTCTCTCGCAGAATCTCTGTTCACGGACGCTGGACCCTGCGGCGGATGCAGCCAGAGGATACCATATCGGGAACCCGACCAGCTTGGAGCGAGTCCTTGTCGGCAATACAACGAAGCAGCCGTCCGAACTGGCCCTACAGGTTGTTGCGGAGAGGTGTGATGGTAGAATGCCAGCGCGCTGGAGGTAGTCGAGCCGCTCGAGCGGCGGAAGCCGGCCAGAATATCGTACGGGGAGAGTTACAGTAGGGCCCGTCCCAGTATGTCGGGTGCTCGTTATTCGCAATCTCGGTGCGTGTATTCTTGTTTCAAGGATCTCCCTTCTTTCCTCGACTCGGCCCGGTCATTTCCACATCCCCTCTCTCAGAGGGACGCCATGCGTGGATCTTCATAGCAAGGCTGACGCTCGGTTGGAATCTTTACGCTCCGAACGCACGGAACACTCCGGACGACGTTCAAGGCCTCTTGACCGTTGGTGGGCTGTGCACATCGTTGCTGGGTGAGAGCACGCCAGTGAAAGAATTTTCACACTGTTGGGACCATGCTGACGATATAGGATGCGATTTCGGCCGGAGTTTCGATGGTGAAAGAACACAACAGTGTGTCTCTTTGCGACCAGGCCGTGTCGACTGGGCTATCTTGTAACAACAGCATTATCGATAAGGAAAGGATTGAGACAAAGGTATGTAGGCTCACAAATGATGCACACTGTTTGAGGTCGCATACACTGAAACCTGTCACCGCCGTGGACGCCGTGTTATTGAACACGATACCAGGCGACGACGCTCTCCGAATGCGACCAAGGATAGACCCGACCAGCTGCGTCACCCACTCCTGAGCTCTCCCAAGTGTGTGCTAATTTGTGGGATTTTGGGGACGTCTGAGGACTGCAGCAGTTGTTCCTGCTGCAGACACCGTGTGCATCTAAATGTGTTCGTTGACAATGAAGAGGGTTGAAGTTCCTGCACTTGACGAAGGTGCAACATCCAACTTGAATGGAAATGGTTGATCTGTTGGCACGTAAAACTCCAATCTCTAGGTCTGCAACGTGGTGGGCTCAGGTTCATACCGTGCTGTAACTTCGCAGTCTTTCGAATGGACCAAATGTCGGGTAAAATTTGAGCATCGGTATCTGATCAGCTCGGATTAACCGTCGTGGAGGAAAGAATGGAGAAATGAATTACCGGCGGTAAGAGTGCGGAAGCGGTATCACTGAACTGCAAGGAAATTCAGCGAAGTCGATTCTTTGAGACGGAAAAACTGTACAATTACATTTAAATTCAAGTAGAGAAGCTGCATCAATTGTGACTCTTCGTCTCTCGGGTAGGACCTCAGACGAAAATGGTGGCTCGCAGTAATCGTCGAGCGATAAAGATTCAACTTTCAAGTCCAGTTGGAGTTTGAATATTGAATATCATGATGCGAATGGAATTACTGAGGGTTTGACAAGTTTAGTTTCGAGATGGATGGACGCAAGTTGGAAATGTGCTAGAGATTGTCGCGCTTCGACGGGCAGGAGAAACAGCAAAGGAAGGAACGCGATGCCCTCTCGACCAAACATGACACCACAAGACGCGAGGCGCAGTTCAACGCGCTGGGTTGACGTTTTTGCTGGGTGATTGAGCGGTCCCGAGACATTGACGAGCATCTGAATGCAAGTCGAACTCAGGACATCTGATATCATAAGTTCCAACCAGTGAAGTCCAACTTGTATACTATTCAATGACAACTTGGAATTCAAGCGAAACAGTAGACCGTGAGCGTATCGTTTTAATAGACGGGCCCGAGTCAAGAACGTAGCATACGTACGACACCTCGAAGAAGCGAGGGATATGGCACACAAGAGAATGAAAAGTTTGGGAGCAAGGGAAAGTCGAGTATGAAAGACGGCAGCAGAAAAGACATGTATTTAGCAATTTCGCGCAAGCTTGGTAGACTCGAAAGTCGAAGCCCGGGCCCCACGTCAAGGAGCTGCGCTGGGCTGCGAGCCCTCACCCGGGAACTACCTACGAAGGATAAAAGCGGTTTTGAGAAGTGTAAATAAATAAAAATCCCCCCGGCCGCGTCCAGGGAAGTCGACGCTGAAGAACATCATGAGGGAAGGGGAGGATGGAACGGAGTGAAACGTACTCGATAGTCGGAATGTCCAAGCGGTCCGTGGGCGTAGGATCGACCAAGGCATCGCGCGGGCTCCCTACTTGGCCTGCCGTTCATGACGACAGGAATTCGGGTGGCGTGGCTACATATGCTGGTCTCTCCTACCACGGTGCAGACGAGGGTCGATGGAAGTCGGCTGGACAACATGGTGAGGGAAGGATGCAGTGGAATTAGTATGAGGACGTACTCGGAAGTTGAACTGTCCAAGCAGTCCGTGGGCGCAGGATCAACCAAGCATCGCGCGGGCTCCCTACTTGGCCTGCCGTTCGTGACGACAGGAATTCGGGTGGCGTGGCTACATATGGTAGTCTCTCCTACTACCACGGTGCAGGCGAGGGTCGATGGAAGTCGGCTGGACAACATGGTGAGGGAAGGATGCAGTGGAATTAGTATGAGGACGTACTCGGAAGTTGAACTGTCCAAGCAGTCCGTGGGCGCAGGATCAACCAAGCATCGCGCGGGCTCCCTACTTGGCCTGCCGTTCGTGACGACAGGAATTCGGGTGGCGTGGCTACATATGGTGGTCTCTCCTACTACCACGGCGAAGTCGAGGTCGAGCGGCGCTGAGAGGGTGTG